GGCGGCGGCGGCGGCGGCGCCGGGTGGGGATGGGGTCGCAGACGCTGCAAATCCTCCGGCAGGGGGTGTGGGCCGCGCTCAGCGGAGGCTGGTACTACGACCCGCACCAGGCCACCTTCGTGAACGCGCTGCACCTCTACCTGTGGCTCTTTCTGCTCGGCCTGCCCTTCACCCTGTACATGGTGAGTGTGGGGGCGGGGAGGAGGGTGGCTCCTTCGCCGTGGGGGCTGGCAGGGGAGCGCCGGGGTTCCAGAGTCCGGCGGGCGGTCGCGCCCTCTTCTGCCTTCCCCGCGCGCGCAGCCCACCGTCCTGCGACCCCCGCCCCTCGGAGTCCGCATCCCCGCTCGCTGTCATGCTCCCCTCCCCCACGCCACTCCCCACTCCTCGCTCGGGTTTCCCCTACTCCGGTGATGACAGGAGAAACGAAACAGCAGCAGCCCCCAGCTCCCGCCCCCGTGCGCGCTGCGGGCGTAGTGGGAACTAGTAGCTTCCTAGGCCCATTCGTGGGGGAGCCCCGAACCCGTAGCCCCTCGTTTTTCCACACGGCTGGGCAGAGCCCGAGCGGGGCTCCCTGTCCTTCGCGTGCTGTGGTAGGCTCCGAGCATTCTGCTGCTTGGCCGTCGCCGCATTGCTCCTTGGCCCGCGTGCTTATTTGCGCTCCGTTCCTCGGGCGCCGGGCACCTCTGCGCTCTCCCTTCACCCGAGGCAGTTCTCGCTCCTCCTCTCCGGGGAGAACCCTCCCTCCACCTCGCCCCTAATCCGCGTGCGGGGCCTTCCGAGCGGGGGAAGAGTCTGTGCCGCTCTGTTTGGAATGTGTCCGTGGGTCGTCCGGGCTCTTACTCGCAAATAGGTGGTGGTTGAAAACCTAGCTCTTAACCTTCCTGCCTCTAAAAATCATTGTTTTTGCTTGCTTACCACTGGTTATTTTCAGTTCATTTCCGTGGTCTGTGGCAGTTGTTTCCAGGCCAGCTTTGGGGGAAAAGAAGCGGGGGAGAAATGGGGAATCTGGCTGGCATTTCAGCAGATTTGTTTGGGTTGGTTCAAGGCCTTTTACTGATTGGCAAAAGGAAAGTACTGCCTGTTGCTGTATTCAGTAAACGATCAGCTTCTCTCAACGATCTAGATTTTTAAAGCTCTATTTCACTGAAAGTTGTAAGCGCATTTTTTTTTTTTTAACACATTAGATTAGGGAAGGGCATTAGGGAAACTGAGGTGAAAGAGGTGATACTTAAGCTTCCGTTAAATTTTTTTAAGTAACGTAATGGAGGAAAGGACGGTGACTTTGTTTTAGGAGAATTCCTTTGTAGACATTTCTGCTAACTTTGTGGTTCTTCGTGGAGTAAGGGTGCTGGATTAGGAAATCTGGGAATTTCTAAAAAGTGCTAAAGGTGAGGACATCCAATTCTTTCCTAAGAGAACCTCATTTTCACTAATTGGCAGGAGAGGTGCTTGCTTGGGGAAAGATGCGGTAAATTTCACTTTCACAAGCAGATTTTAATTTTTCATTGAAATTATTTTGAAGAGACTTACTGCTTGAGTTTAAAAGACCATTTAAAAAAGATGCTGGTGTGGGAAGAGAGGGGAGGTAGACAGGTAAAGGGGGTCAAATATAAAGAGGTAGGAGGAGAGCGAAGTGGGTAAAGGGGATTAAATATATGGTAGCTGAAGGAAACTGGACTTTGGGTGGTAAACACAATAGAATATATAGATGTCAAATTATAATGTACACCTGAAAATTATGTAATTGTATTAACCAGTGGTACCCCAATAAACTTAATTTAAAAAGTAAATAAAAAACAATAATTAAAAAAAATAAAGATGCTGGTGACTGGTGACTATTTTTTACGGAACTTGTTCAATCTTTTCCCATTCTGAAAATTTATCACCAAGTATTATAATTTTCAAATAATTCTGGCCTACGGAGTTCAGTTTGCACTTTTGTACCTTCCAGGAATATGACATCATTAATGAACAGGTTAATTACTTTGGATATAAGAATCCTCAGGCTGTCACAGAGCTTTCATAGCAGATTTCTCTTGTATCCAGAATTGTAAATTTAAAACCGAAACTGATTCTTAAAGTGTAAGGATTAGTTGGCTCGTGTCCCAGTGTTAGGTTTCCATATTAGCATGTGAACTGTGCTTGTGGCTAAATCTCTTTTTGAATTTAACAAACATTACTAAAGAAAACTTGGAGCAAATAAGAAGCAATACCTTGAGTTTTTTGCTTCATTTTGGGAGTTCAGTTAAATTTAATTCACAAATAAATATTTGAGTGTTAACTATGTACTGGGCAGTTCATTGGATTCTGGGAAAATAAAATTGCTTCTCTGACTTTCTTGTCTCAGTTTATGGCAACTCTCCTTAAACCTTTAAAAAGCTCTCTTTGATTCTCTCTCTTCACATTCAGTTCAACAAATCTGGGTTCTGTCTTCCGAACCTAACTAGAATCCAGCTAGTCGTCATCATTACACCCTTGGTTCAAGCCACCATTACGTCTCTTCTGGATTATTGCAGTGTTCTAATGAGGCTCTCTGCTTCCATTCTTTATTCTCTATTCTATATACAGAAATCTGAGTGATTCTTTAAAATATAAGTCAGATCATTGCATCTCTGCTCTCAGAGCCTGTCCTCCCATGCATCTGTTGTATTCCACCCCCATATATTTGTCTTCTTACAATTTTTCCCACACAGCTGTGTTTCTTCTACCTTGTGGCCTTTGTATTTGTTCTTTCTGCTCTGTCTGGATGACTCCTTTCCTCCAGATACCTGTGTGACTTGCTCCACTTCTTTCAGCTTTCAGTTACATGTGAGGCTTTTCCCGATATCCTGTGTAAAATACCAACTTCCCAACTCCTACAATACTTCCTAGCCCTCCTACCCTCCGTTATTTGATAGCACTTATCATGAGTTGATATATATTTATTTACTTAGTCTCTTTTATATCATTGGAATATAAGCTCTAAGAGATCAGAGACTATTTTGTTCACTACTGTATTGTCAGGACCTAGATCAGTGCCAAGCACATAGTAAGTACTCAAATATTAAATGAATGATTAGAAACGAATAACACAGAGCTTTTGCTTTCAAGGAAGTTAAAGTCTAGCTTTGGGATAGTGAACAATTCTAAGCATTAGAACTGCTGTGGAAAAGTGAGTACACACTGACCCTGAGCTTCAAGTCAGGGAATGATCTTAGTCTAGGGGCAGTCAGCAAAGAGGATTTGTAAACATATAAGGAAACATGCTACTACTACAGTATTGAGGTAGATAGTTTGAAGTATACACTTGAAGCAAAACCCAACATGCCATGTTAAAATCTCAGTTTTAGGTTATTATTTGTATGTTCTTCCAATAATAATGACAGATAATAACTATTAAGTATGTATATAGGTTTTTATCCCAAACCCTCTGTCCTCATTTTATTGATGAAGATACCTGAGGTTTAGCCATCAGTGACTAGTTTGTGACCTTAGGCAGATCGTGAGCTGAGATTTGATTCACAGGCAGCCATTTTTTTTTTTTTTTTTTAAAGAGCCAAAGTCAGAAGAGGTAGTACTGTAGTACCTTGAATTAGGAAGAGTCTTAGGACTCTTTTTTTTTTTTTTTAAACATCTATTTTGTTTGGGTAAATGCAGTCAGTGCTTTTCTGTTTTTGTTTTTAGTTTAAAAAATTTTTTATTGAATGTGACATTTTGTAAATTTAAGGTGTACAACTTGTTACTTTGATACATTTATATATTATAATTTGATTGCTGTTGTGATATTTACATAACATGATTATAGTATATTATTGTGTGCATTTATTACACTCTGCATTTATTACTCTCTCGCTTATTTACTACTAGTTGGAAGATTGTACCCTTCAACAATATCACTCTTAACTCCACCTGTCATCCCCTGGTAACCACCATTTATTCTCTTTTTTGTTTTTAAATGGGTTCGGCTATTTTAGATTCCATATATAAGTGATATCATGTTGTATTTTTCTTTCTTTGTCTGACTTATCTCACTTAGCATAATATGCTCAGATCTTAGGACTTTTTGCATAGTATTCAGACACTTGCTATTAGTTTTTGTGGGTACTTTGAAAGGTGGAATTTATAGTTTCTGCAGTTATAAAACTTTTAAGTAGTGAAAGTCAAGAAGGAATTTTTTCTTCTTCCATTGTCTTTTCTGTTTCTCTTAAGGCATTCACCCTATTTTATCTTGTTACAGTTATTTTTATACAGGACATGTCAGATAGTGAGCTTTGTGAGTATGAGCTTTGTGGCATTTTTGTATGCTGGAAAGCAGACTGGAATTGCTGTTATCTTGATTTGTGTGTTTTCACTCTGTTGTTGATTGATTGTGTGTCCTTTGGGCAGGACTCTCCACCTTTTGTGAACCTCATTTATGAGCTATTTCATGGGTATTTTGTAAGAAAATATTTATGAAATAGAAGAAATATGCACTTGTGCATGTCCATTCTGATGCAGAAGATCTAGAGTGTGGCACATTAATTTGTATTTTATAAACATCCAGGTCAGTTTAAAGAATGTGATCAACATGTCCCTAATTCCCAGGTCCTGACATATTCAGTGGCCTCCTCAGCATCTCCTCTTGACTGTCTTATAGGCATCTCAAAGGTATCATTTCTAAAACCATTTTTGATTCCCCACTAAACCTACCACTCCGCCACCACAAAACTTGTTTTCTTACTCTTTCTTTGCCACCTTAGTCAGTGGCACCATCTTGTATCTATTTGCTCATGCCATCCTCCTCCCCCTTGCCTTATGAGCAAATCTTATCAATTCTACTGTCAGATCATCTCCTTTCTTTCCACTTCCTGTTCCACACTAATTTTTTGTCTGCACTACTACATTAGCTTCTATTCTTGCCCTTTTATAAATATTTCTCCACAAAGTAAATGACAGCAGTCTGTTCATGTCATTTCCCCTCCTCCTTTGATATCCTTTAATAATTTTCTTTTGTATTTAGAATAAAATCTAACATCCTTACCAAGGCCCCGCCAAAGCCAGTTCTGCCTTTGTCTGCAGCTTGTGCAGTTTTCCCACTGTGCTGTAGTCACACTGGCCTCCTTTTTGTTACTTCAACCTACTGAGCTTGTTCCTACCGCCAGGCCCTCTTTCCTCTTGCTCCTTGCAGGGCTGGCTGCTGCTTGGTCTTTAGGGCTGTGCTTAA